CTTAAGCTGCGACAAGATGCCGCCATATATTTGTCACATGGACGCCACTTTTACGGCCCAAAAGAGGGCCGAGAGACGCCGTCCGCCGAGCGGGCGGTTAAGGATGCAGTGGGAGGGGGGGTGGGGCGGCAAGGACAACAATCGACGAGTGGATATCACCAGGCACTGGCACAACAAAGGCAAAAGGCACAGGCCAGGGCCAAGAGGAGTTGTGTGCAAATAACCTTAAGCCGGAAGCTCGTCAAGTGACTTTGCTGCCTTCCTGCCATTCAACCAAAAAAAAGGAAGTACGACAAAAAAAAAAGAAAATGAATGCTCAGCCACTACAACCGCCAGTTACACAAGAAAAAATATAGGTAATAACCAAAAATACACCTAAATTTAATAATCATTAATGTCAGCAAAGCAATACAAATGAGTAGCAGCAAACTCTTCCTCTCAAGATCTTTCTTTAAAGAATTATACAGTATTAAATTAAGATTATTATCACAGAATAAATTGTATTAAATATTACTTGATAGATTTTTTTTTTTGCAGTGCAATCCAAGTCGCAAATGCTGCTCCATCATCAACGTATCCAAAGTATTTGCATTTTGTATCACTTAAGCAGCAGCTTTTCCATTGTTGCCACTGGTCACAGGAGACATTTATAGTCGAGCACACACACACACTCCCCTCAAACACACACACACCACACACACCCTCACACACACATAAAACAAACATAAAGCTTTGGTTTTTCGTTGACTTTTCCCCATTGCGTGCCTTATTTGCGACTCAAATGTTAAGTAATGGAATTATTCGTGTGCTCAAGTGTAGGCTCTCTTTGACCAAGAAACCAAAGATGTCGAAACCCAAGTTTCCAACAGAATTTTCCCAGGCATTTTCCCCATCTGCCCCCCCTGTTTGACAATCAAATTTTGCTTGGCAACAAATTTCGGACAGCGCCGAAGGAGGCGCGTGTAATTGCCAAGACAAACATTGTGTTAAGTGGGCGCCCACACAAACAAAGCGGCTCATACGCCGCCAAAATTGTGGCCAAAAGACAGCTGTGCGAGTGTGCGAAGAGTGTGTGTGTGTGTGCAAAGTGTGTGTATTTTGTCCTATTTGCCTTGGCTTCACTGAGGCCTCAACGACTGGCTTTGACTTTTTGGCGGACAGCTTGGCTCCATGCATAACGTATGTGCAGATATTCCCTGCTCCTTGAAAGTTTATTGTTTGTCAGATTTTGGCTTAAATTTAAAATATAAGAATTTTTTCCAGAAGCTAGAGTTTGGGTAATTAATATTAAATGGTATTATTAAACGCAGGAAGAAAGGAAGGACGTATACAATTACTTTCACTATATTTCGTTTTTAAATACAACAATTTCTCAATTAGATTTTAAAGCATCATTATGCTCTTCGTGATTTCTGATAGATTTGTCCTTGTCTGTTTTCTTAATATTTCCTCAACAATTTCTTGACTTGAATTCAGATCAGAATCAGTAATTTCCAAGACCTAAACCTTTGGTCAGAAGCTTAAAAAATATGGAAGGAGTCATTTCCGACCCTATAAATCATATATATTCTTGATCAGCATCACCAGACGAATCGATCTAGCTATCTCCGACAAAAATTTTCACCATTTTTAAGGGGTAAAACGTGAAAATTGAATATTGAAAAATTGATAAAAATTTGAATTTCCTGAAATTCTAAATTGAGTATGCAGATTTATTAATCTAGTAAAAACTAGCATAGGACAGCTTACCGAATTTAAATTAATTAATTTTTGGCTAAGTTATAAGTTTTTTAATTTTTAGTATATCGATAAAATTGTCATATTACAATATAGATAAAATCGAGTCAAAAAAGGGTATTATACCTTTATTCAGAAGCTTAAAAAATATAGAAGGAGTCATTTCCGACCCTATAAATCATATATATTCTTGATCAGCATGAACAGCCGAATCGATCTAGCTATCTCCGACAAAAATTTAATTTTTTTTAAATTTTTACCATTTTTTAAGGGGTAAAACGTGAAAATTCAATATTGAAAAATTGATAAAAATTTGAATTAAATAAAATTCTAAATTGAGTATGCAGACTTATTATTCTGGTAAAAACTAGCGTAGGACAGCTTACCGAATTAAAATTAATTAATTTTTGGCTAAGTTATAAGTTTTTTAATTTTTAGTATATCGATAAAATTGTCATATTAAAATATAGATAAAATCGACCCGAAAGTGGTACTATACTTTCATTCAGAAGCTTAAAAAATATGGAAGGAGTCATTTCCGACCCTATAAATCATATATATTCTTGATCAGCATGAAAAGCTGAGTCGATCCAGCTATCTCCGACAAAAATTTAATTTTTTTTTAAATTTCTCATTTTTTTATGGGTTAAAAATGTGAAAATTGAATATTGAAAAATTGATAAAAATTTAAATTTCAAAAATTCTAAATTAAGTATGCAGTTTTTTTAACCTATTCAAAACTAGTGCAAAACAGCTTTCTGAATGGAATTTAATGCTTTTTTGGCATAGTTATGAATTTTTTAAGCTTTGATTTAATCAAAAAAAATCATATGAAAATGAAGATAAATATTGATTTGAAGAATGCGAATATGTGATCGAAATCCGATTCGATCAAATAATTCGATTAGAAACTGAAAGGGTATATAAACTTCGTCTTTCTGCAGCTAATACGATTCTAGATTTTATCATGTTATTTTATTTTATTTCCCTTAAGTTTGTGTCTAAATTTTTGCTTGTTTTGCCTTTTGATTAGTTTCCTTTGAAACTAATTTCGTAATGGCTTATAATGGTTTTCTAATTGATTCGATTGACTTGATTGTTTTCCTCGTGCATGTGAATTAAATTCAATTCGCAGGCTTATTAAATCGGTTTGCTCAATTTATTTTGTTTACCAAGAAAACTTTCCAAGATTTCCAAATTTGTAGTGGGAAAAGTACGACCCTTTGTTGTGAAAGTAGTTCCATTTCTTTTCGATTCTTTTCATTCTTTAACTCCTCGTTATTGTTTTCCCTGCTTTCGGTTCGTTCATTATCCTGCCGTCCTCCTTAATTTCCTCCACTCCATCTTTCTCGGCTTTCCCCTTGCCCCTTCCACTTTTCCTTTCCTTTTCGCTTTCTCTTTGTCCCCCTTTTTCGCTATTTTATTTTCGGACATACCTACTTATTTTAATTTAACCTTCACTTGTGATGGGAGGCTGGGCAGGGAGGTGAGGGGAGGGGCCGGTGTCCTGGCTCAGAGGGATACGGTCAAAGTGTTAAGCCATTGTCGCCATTGTGTTGGCATCTGCTCCTCTGTGCCCTGCCACGCCCCCTGCCCACGCAACTTTTACGCCTCCGCACAATGGGGAAAATATGTAAGGAAATAATGTCGAGTGCACTGTAAAAAAATGCCAGCTATTTTGGTTTACTCTTAAATGAACTCGACCAAACTTGAAATATTTTAACTGATTTTCTGTATTTTGGAAGGAAAACCTTCTTCATTACAGTGTAGAGAGAAAGTCCAGACGAGGGCACAGAAATTCGCAATTAATCACAATTAAAAACGGCACGAAGATCCTTTCTGCCGTCATATATACCTCGGCTGCTGGACACACCGACTGCCTTTCCACAGCACCCTTTTCGGCCACGTCATCCGCATTTAATTATGGAAATGTTAATTTGCTTAGCACTTCAGGCCAAGCCGACGCCTCCCCCTATATTTTCACCTCTTTTCCCGAGCATTTCCCCCCGCCTGTAATCCATTTTCACCGGCGTCACCTGGCCGCGGACTTTCCTAGCAACGCGAGTCAGCGAAAATGTTCATGTTTAGTTTTTCTCATATTTTCTTTTATTTTTTTTTGTGTTGCCATCGCACCATTAATTTTCAATTAACACTATGCCAGGAGCAGACACCGTGGACGCAGGATCAGGGCTTGGTGGCCCAGAGCTGCTCCCTCCGTCTGGGTCAGCGTTAGTCAATGGCATGGACCTAATCAGGTCCGCCGCCAGGATAAGTGGAAGTGTAAGTGCAAGTGCTAAGCTGCAGGAGACGGCACGTCAAATTTGATACCCTGTACGGGGTTTTTTTAATAGGGGGTTTATTGGTTATGTGCTCCTTTTCAACAGCAAACAAATTGGTTAAAATCGTAGCAGTGCTGATACTTGGACTTTAATTAGAAGACCATGCAATGGTATTTCGAAAGGATTAAAGGAAAAAGGCTCCTGAATCTAGGAAAACTCTTGTATCCGATTCCCAAGGAAGAGAACAAATAAAATACTAAACAATAGAGCTTTGAAATTGTTGTCAAAGGGTCTTAGAATTCAAAATTGAAATCGTGCTAGAGCATTTACAATATCTAGAGATTCTTTTCGTGCTTCTAGATGGACTTTATAATTGAATCATTAATCATAAACCGCTTCTGCAACATGTAGAATCCGTAGAGACTTTCCAGAGAGGTAGTTCCATCTAATGGCTTGAAATCAAGTTCATCCTTCATCCTGCCCTGAAACTAGCCAAGCTGTCACCACATGGTGACCGACTTCTTGGGCCCTCCGGCTGATCCCAAAACACAGATCATGTCATGTCTCCAGGCCACATTGAGCGAGTTGGTCATGTAGCTGGGCGACACCAAGGTCACACTCTGCCACAACTGACGGTCCCTGCCACAGCAGTTCCACAACCTCTAACCAAGATTTGTCCTTCAGACACGCATCCTCATCTATAAGGATATGCTGGCTTTGATCAATCGCATCGAGGACACACAGCATTTGATAATCGTAGAGATTTGCTTTTGCTGTCAAGGTTGATATCCCAGGATCTTTCGCTTTACCTGCCCTGCTTAGCGAAGGGCTTTTCAGGCGGAAATGGAAACGCCTCACTAGCTTCTTCTTCACAGTAGCTTCCTTGAGCTGAAGCTCTTTTACTTTCCCCAGAGCTGCTTTTCCCCAGTTTCACAAGATGACAATTGGTATCCGGTGCTTCCTTAAGCTCGGGAAACTATCGTCATCTTGCAAAACCCGGAAGAAGCAGCTTTGGTGAAAATAAAAGAAAAGCAGTTCAAGAAAGCCGAGGATACCAAAGTCTTCTTCACAGATTCTTTTACACGAACATCTTTGGAAACTATTGTAATCAGTATTCAGTAATGAGAGTAAAAAAAAAATGAACACACCTTAAAACTTGGATGGAAATTTTATAAACTTTTGAAAAACTTCCGAACAATAATTTAGAAATATTAACTAAAGGTCTTGCTGGTACGACGATTGGAATTATACTGAATATTTGTAGAACTTCAGTTGGGGAGCTAAAGTTTCGGTTTGACATAAGGAGTTAAAGGCTGACTTGAGTTTTTAGTTCGGGTGTGAATTTGTATTTATATTTAAATTACAATGAAATAATAAGATTATATAGTATCAATGGTCGAAAATCACTTATTGATTGCATTGCAACCTTCTGAACTTAATTTGAATACCCTGCAAAGGCTTAAATATTAAATTACTCTTCCAAAATGTTAAGAAATATTTAATTCAATTGAAATATATATAAATCCTTAGGTAACCGCTAGTCTTAGCCTCCTTCCCGACCTTATTATTTCTAATTTATTGCCTCGTTCGTGCTCTCATTGGCACCCAACTTAACCCTGGCCAAACCCGGACCCAATCCCGACTCGAACCCCTTGGTCCTTGGTCCACCTGTAGTTCATTTCATTTATCGCCCGTCTCCACCAACAAAGTTCAATCCTTTGTTGTTCCCTGCTTACGCCATTAACTTAAAGTGCCATTGGCCCCGTTCCGTCCCAGCCTGGGGTTCCCAGTTGCCATATCCTGGAGCCTGGAGTTTCAGGACTCGTCGCATAAGCAGCATCTGGCCATCTGCGTAGTCTGGGAGCACTTAACTTAAGCGCTCTAATTGTATTAAAAGCGTGTCTTGTCCCGCCTATGTTACAACCCTCGCTCTCCTCGCCCCTCCTCAATCCCCATTTTGCAGGACCAAAACCGGAAAGGGACCTCCGCCATAGTTGAGTTGAGTTGCCTGTGACGTTGACGCAATGTCTCGTTTTCTCGTTTCTCGTTTCTAGTTTGGTTTCATTTCGCCTCGTTCTGGCCTGGCCAGCATCTCGGTTTTGGGCTAATTCGGCTAAGTGATTTCCATGAGTGCGTGCCTTATCTGACTTATGGTTTAATTAGGGTCAGCCGAAAGGGGTTTTCCCCGTATTTCTCGCACTCGCCGGCATTGCAATTAGTTCCGATTAACCCAAACATGCCGACAAACTTCTAAATGTCACTGCCACTGCGCTCTGCACAGAGAAAAATAGAAGATCTGCTTAAAATGCTTTACTAATTATTAATTCAAGTGTAAGATCTACACTATTTGAACTTCTTTATATTATTCTGAATGTTGTAAGTGAAGAAAACACGTTTAGCAGGCCAGAAAAATGTACCCAGACATGTTTGTAGAAACTCCACAAAATGATGGTTAAATTTTGGTTTTAAATATTTCTCTTTGCATTGTTTGTGGTCTTCTTTCCTTGGCTTCACCTTTGGCCCACTTTTTTTGGCCGTGTCAGCTGCACACCCCACTTGGCCCCGTTTCGTCCTGTCTGCCGCCTATTTTCGGCCTGAAAGGAGTCCGGGGAGTCCTGCCTGACTGCCTGCCTGCCACATCGTAGACATTCCTCGGCTTTCGCCTGGCTGGAGCCCGGGTAAATGTTAATTAAGCATCATTTACGCATTCAGGCCGCCATAATTTGCAGCGACAATGACACTGACAGCGCCACAATGTTGCGACAACTTTGACAAGCCCTCAGCCCCCGCTGCCAGCCCAAGACCCAGGACCAGGACCAGGACCAGGACCAGGACCAAGACCAAGACCCAGGACACCAAGGCAAAGTCGTCACAGGACCCTTTCCCATCGCACCATCGCATCACTCGGCACGCAGTCAAATTTAATGTAACATAAAAGGTTTTCCATTTCGTTTTCCATCTAAGGATGTGAGAGAGAAAGGGGGAGGTAATGGTTCTGGTTCCATCAGGACAACCGCAAAATAAGCATGATAATGCGACAGGACGGGACTATGAGATAGACAGCCTTCAATTGTAGAAAGAACGATCAAATCAATAAGAAAATGCTGCTCAGGACTGTCCTTGGAAGAAAATCGATTCAAATTATGGAGTAAAGCTTAAATTCCAAGTTTACTTGATAATTATTTCAGGATTGGGGAACATATTCAACTCCTATTCATATTATTATTTAATATATTTAGCAAAACACCTAACCAATTGGCAGTACCTGCTTGAATAGGTCTCAAAAAGTTGGCTTATCCCGCCTCGCCATCAGCTGTGATTCGTCCTTTATGTCCTGCCGGCTGGCTACTGCCTCGCCAGTCCTGGCTTTTGTCCGAGTGCCCGCTTATCTCCTCCAGACAAAGGACACTCCGGCCGTGGATTAGCTCAGCCAAACGGCTATTTAGCGGTCTCTAGAGGAAGGAGTCCTTCGCTCCGCCGAATTCTGGCCACAAAGCGGCCGGCGAAATGCGTCTAACAGCTGGCCAACAATATCCAACAATGGCCAACTGTGGCAACAAAATAAATAAATAAAAATAAAATAAAGAGAGACAGAAAGAGAAAATGAAACAAGCAACAGCAGCGTGGAATGGAGGAGCACAAAACCGAAATAGCAAATAAAATTGCACAACAAAGATGGAAACGGAGCAGCGAATGCAGGAGACGAAGACAAAGGACGAAGCCGGAGAGTCGTGCGAAAGAATTACGTTAAAAGCCAGGACTAACGATGCCAACGGATGAGGAGGTACTAAGCCAGGATATACCCTGTTATTGCCATATTATCAGAATTAAATATTCAAGTTTTCAGATAAGGGTTACTTCTGTGGAAAATATTTGTATTTTCTTTGTGTAAAATAGCATTATAATTTATATATATTCAAATATAAAACATATTTCAACTACCCCTCTTTGTTCTAACTATAACCATGAAAAACTCTTTCTTATAAATTCAAAATTTCCAGATAAAAAAACTATATAAATAATTGAAGATATTAGTGCAAATAGTTTAAAGATTCGAAATATCATTTTTGTATTATAAATATATCAATAATTATAGGTTTAAACACTCACATATCATCGTTGTTCTTCTCCATATCATATAATTTTATAATAAGCTTTTGATGGCTGATTCCGACTCTTCATTACATTTCCAATTAATAACAAAATACTGAAAACAAATACGAAAATACAAATTTAGTAAAATTTTCCATAAACATGTAAGGGTTAACATAGTAAAAATAATATACAGATTTATCAACGAATAAAAAATGAAAGCATTTTCTCAGCTTAGTTATGTTTATTTTGCACTTGTCCCTGAGTTAACCAGGACTGGGCAGGACCTCCATAGTACAGGGTATTCTGGTATCCTGATAAAGTAAGAAGGCCAAGCCAGTCGCGCTCACACACACACACACACACATTTCTCACACCAAATGCAAATAAAACGACGCCTTGGAATTGAAATAGAAATAGAAAATTGCCAAACAAAAATGGCAGCATAAACTTTTGCCGTTTCCCCTTCACTTCCGTACATCATTCGTTCTCCTTTTTCGCCGGCACTTTCTCTGCTGTGGTGTCTCAGGATTCCAGCTCCTGGTTCCTAGCTCCCAGCTCCCTGCTCCCTGCTCCTTTCCATCCGGAGGTCGTAATTCTCGAAAAGTGAAAGAGAGACACAGTGGCACACATACGCAATGGATGCTACAGAGAGGAAGAGGGGTGCTTGTCGACATTTTGGTAATAAATTGAGTTTTATGGCAGTCATATTATTCTTTATTAGTGGGTAAGAATTGTTGCCTTTTGTTGGCTTTTGTTGCCGAAACGATGTTTCAACCGGGCCAGCGCCCAGCCACCCAAAAGTATCCTTCTGTCCCTGCCACATCCTGCCACCTGGACCACAGAGGAGGAAGACCACGACCACGACCACGACTGGCGCTTTGTTCAATTCCCTGACTTGTGTGAAGTGGCTGAAGCAGGGCTTAATTAATTTGGCAGGACTATGAGCAGTACTGAAGCCTTGAGGTATTCCCAAAAGTCCTTTTGGCCAAAATCAATCAACGACAGGGAAGTACTGACCTCGAATCTAGGCCTCAAGGCCTCTAGGGCTCTAGGACCTCCCCCATTCAGCTAGCAAAATCAAAAATTCGCCTCCAAGACTCGTAATTTAGCGTTAAATTAGTCCCAAAAGGCAAAAGCGGGTCAAGGCAAATCGCCAACTGGGATAATCCGTCAATCGCACATCTGATTTTCTTGGCTGTCAGCGGCCAAAGTAATTATGGGTGAGTCCTTGTACACACAGAAAGAAATTGTGTATTCAGAGGCTATATTTGTCCAGGATTTCACTGGGTTTCTTAAGAGGAACATTAAATATTGATGTATTTTAAAGATTTACCAAGTACTAAAATGGTAGGAAATAATAATAAACATTTCTGACTCTCCTATTCAATTAAGCCTCATACCTGATGATCCTTGAAACTCGTCAAGGACACAATTCGACTCTAGACTCTTGCGGCTCAGCTCCGGAAGCACTCCCTGGCGGAGTCCTCAAGGACTCCTGCATAATAATGTTCCGCTTGTGTAATTTATCATCCTCGATGCCAGAGTCCGCGAATCTGTCTGAAGTCTGCCGGGAGGGGACTGGGGAGTGGGGCAAACCTTTTAGGCCAGTGCTGAGTGCTTCTCCATGCTCCCCCCCCCAGAAGGAGAGCCGCCCCGATGATTAATTGCCGGAATGTCCGTTTGAGCGGAAAATTCACAAAACATTTTCATCATCAAAGCGAAGCCGAAGCTCAAAACAGAAACTGAAACTGATTTTCAGCTCAGCATTAACGAAAAGTGCAGGAATAATGCCCCCCAGCGATTTTATGTATATATAATTGGCTTAATTGCAAATATAGTTTTATTTGCTCATCACTAATTGCACATTTCCCGATTAAACTCCTTAAATTTAATGACAAAATTCATTTAAACCCTGACACAGCACGCAAATAATAAAAAATAATCGATTTGCACACAGAGAAAAGAAAATTTCTCAACAAACCAGTAACACTTTCGATTAATTTCCATTTCATTTGGAATTATTTCAAGTCTCTTGCTCAAAAAGCCAACACAAAATTTCCCCATTTTCCGGCCATGAATCGGGAGCAGAATCTGACCGCCGCCTTGAGGCAGTCGGGTCAAGCGGTGGATAAGCTATCAGCTGCTGATCAGGAGCAGCTGGAACAGCTGGGGACACCCGAGGAGCAGGAGGAGCTTGATGATGAGGTGGATGATGAGCGGGAGGACGAGGACGAAGAGGAGGAGCCCTGGCCGGAGCTAGTTCAACTGCATCAGCCGCCGGAGCACAGTCAGCTGCTCCTGGCGGAACGCACTAGCTGCATTGCCGTAAGGACATACCTGCGCCTGTGCCGCCTGCCCTTTGCCGAGAAGATCAGCGCCCATGCCGAGTTCATGACCCAAGGCGGCCGTCTCACCGGACTGCCCATGCTCCGACTCGGTCAGTTCCAAATCTTGGCCGAATTCGAGCCCATTGTGGACCATGTGGCGGCCACCAGGCCATCGAAGGCTCTGGGCCGTTGGCTGTCGGAGGAGGAGCGAGAGGATATGCGCTGCATGGTCAACTACGTGGAGACGGTCTTCACACTGGCCGAGATTCATCTCAGCTACGTCGATCCCGTCAACTATCGCCTGTACACGGCCCGAAGGAGCGGCGCCGGTCATCCCTGGCTACTGAGCCTGCTCCGGCGATTCTACAAGCAGCGTCAGGCCATGCGACTGCTCCGCGTCTACCAGTGGCACCATCTGAGCACCGACCAGGTGCTCGATGAGGTCAGCGAATGCTGCGACGCACTCATGGACCAGTTGGAGGAGCACGAAGATGACTCGGAGGGCTTCCTGTGCGGCTCACAGCCCTGCGAGCTGGATGCTCTGGTCTTTGGCCATGTGGTGGGAATACTCAACACTCCGCTACCCAACCGGGAGCTGGCCGAGCTCCTGTACTCCTATCCGCGTCTTGTGGCCTTTTGCCGGCGCATTGATGCCAGCCTGTACGGAGGGAAGCTTCTCAATGAGAGGGGGGACTCTGGCTTTGACTCCGAGGACGACTCGAACGAAGACTGTGTCCAGGAGGAGGAAAATAATTCGGAGCATGAGCAGCGGAAGATTGAGGAACAGGAACAGAAGGAAGAAGAGGCCGAAGAGTAGCAGGAGCCAGCACAAAATTAAAGGAAGCGGTGGGACAAAGGATTCTTATTGTTTTTTTATTTGGCCAGGGGTCGGGAAGCCAATCAAAAATATGCAAAGCATTTACAATAAAAAGCGGCAGACAAACCGACGATGGAAGGGGCACAACTCCGGAATTGGACCGAGAAGGGGACCGATGGAGAAGGTTGGGCCAGAGATAAGCCAGAGCAACAGACCAGGGCCAAAACACTGCAAAAATACGCAAAATTTACCAAAAGGTCCTTTCGTTACTTTAAGTCTATTGATTTCTTTAAACAATTCCTTTCAAATGTGATATTTCAAATTGATTTCGATTTAGTTGCAAACAAAATTAAAACTGAATAAAGTAACATAAGAAATATAAAGAAATTTGCTTTTCGGATCGGAATTTTATGCGTTGAACAGGTTCTAAGTGTTATTTCCGTTTAAGTAATTTAATGTTTAAGTATATATTGGACTTTGGTTATTGTTTAAATAAAACCAAAAAGGACAAAAATTAACATTCTTATTGAGTTAAGTTTAGTCTTAGTGTAGATGGTAAGAAAGGTCCTTCGGCATTCAATTTAAGTTAGCCTTCGACTTGAACTTGGACTTGGACTGCAAGGTAGAAGTCTCCCTCTCTCTTGGACGACCCATAAAGCGTCAGTTCGATTTTATGACTGCCCCAAAATCACCAATCCCGGAGAAGGGTCTCCCTCGAAGCTAACCCGGGTGACATGGCCGCATCGTTCGGACAATCAGGGGCCATCATCCGTATCCTCGTTGCCCTTCCCACTCTCCCTCGGTCCTTAGTCCTTGTTTCTTTCTTTATTTTTCGCCCGACTTTTCCCTTTTTGACTGCTTTGCAATCAGAAACTCATCATGGCCTATTGATGATTTTTTTCATGCTGCGTGCTATGTGCTTCTTGTTATACCCTTACAGGGCATTATAATTTCAAGCAGAAGCTTGCAACACAGTGAAGGACCACTAAGTTACTTTGTTCAGTAAGAATAAATAAATATTAAGTAACTATGAGCAGCAAGTAACTATGATCACTAAGTATCTATGACCAGTAAGTAACTGTGAAGACTAAGTATCTATTAACAGTAAGTAACTCTGAACTCTAAGTATCCATTAACAGTAAGTATCAATGAACATTAAGTATCTATGAGCAGTCAGTAAAACTCTGAATAGTGAGTATCTATGACCAGTTAGTTATAATCAGTTATAATCAGTTACTAACTTTGAACACTAGTAAACAATGACTTGCAACTTTGGTAACACAACACATATCTGAGACTCGGCCGGCAGCAGTCACTTCGTTCCGGGGAGGTTAGAACCAGTTGTGAATCATAAACATGTCCGAGATTTGTTTTTAACCAATTTAAGAGCAAGCTATTTCAATGAAACTATGGAGTTATTCTTCTATACAATTTTACTAGTATATAAGTCGGACCATTGCGAATCGGTGGACTATATATATACATATATATAGCTGACATAGAAAGAATCGGACGATTTATAGAAAAAAATTATAACTTTTCCAGTTTTCAACAGATTTTCATAAAATTTAATATTTAGCCTTTAAATGTTAATCTAGAATTTTGTGTTAAACTTAATGAAAATCGGACTACTGTATAATATAACTGCTATACAAAGCGATCTTAAAAACAGAGGAAAAACCAAAACGGTAAATGTAAAACTGTAAATAGAAAATATATGGATGAATAAATGGAAAGCAGGCATTACTTTATTGTTTTTTAAGATAAATATATATAATCTATGTTCTATTAATTCCTAGTGATCGAATTTCAATCTGCAAGGGTATAAACAAATTTCGGTGTGCCGATGTTAGCTTCCTTTCTTGTTTTTTGTTCTTTTTTCGTAAAGGATAATGTTCGGCTGGCCTTGATGCCGCCTGTCTCTGTTCATGTCTTTGTCGTAATTTATTGGAATTTGCCAAAAGGATTAAGTACGCCAATAAGCGTTGCTCAACGTCAATAAGCGTCCTGTTCCGCACTTGGGGCCCGGCTCTTGCTCCCTGCTCCTGTTATCGGCATCAGACGCTGCCGCCGGCCATTTTCCAGCCCTTTCTCTGTCTCTTTTCGCTTCCGGTTCCTGTTTATGTGTGTGTGCGACTGCCGAAAAAGGAAAGGAACCAGCACAACAAAAAAAAGGAAGAAAACACTGATAAATGCTGCGCGTGTCGAACGGCAGCCTGATTTGTTTGGCTTAATATTTCAATTTTTCGGGGTTTCTGTCTATATTGAAAATCAGGGGTACCCGAATGGGAGTTGAAAATAAATGAAATGCCAAGATACCTGAAAAGCACATTTTATACAGAAGAAATATACTTTAGTTATTGGTCATTTCAGAACTCTTCCATCGATAATCCCTAAGAAAGTCCTTGAATACTCGCTATGAATATGCCTGGCCACTTCTCACTCGTCACTCGCCACTTCCACTCGCTACTAGTCAATAGTGAGTCTCAAATATCCACTTATTACATACTTCCCTACTCCCTTTTACTTGCCACTCGCCGCTCACTCAATTTGTGCTCAAAACTCCTCCGGATAAAGGAGCAGTGACTCGATGAAATCACCTCGCTGTAAACAAATAGACGGTCGTATTTTTTGGAGCCCCAAGTCATCCAAGCTTCATCCGAACTTCTCCATCACGCTGTGCTTTATCACTTTATTTGGAGCTGAGTCGCCCGATTATCTATCATCCGGCAAAGGAGTCCGCATCCTGCGTCTTAGGTCTTACGTCCAGCGTCCTGTGTCCTGTGTCTTGTGTCCTTTTTCCTCGTCATCATCATCACCGCCAAAGGGAGAACGAGAACGACCTTCAACTTGCATGATGCCGCTCTCTCTCGCTCTCGCCCGAGTAACCCTGATGGAAAGTGTATAAAACACAATTTGTTTTCATTTTGTGCTGAGCGACTTTCCCCGACTTTTCCGACTGCCTGCCTGCCCGCCGCCGGCTTCGAGTTTTCAGCGCTTTATCTTGCAGATCCGCCAACACCACGACTACGACCACTACTCCACGGCCAGCACTCCATCCGAATCCCATCCCGAATTCAGCATTCTGTCAGCTTAACCGCTGCCACTTGCCATTGTTGGCTGTTTGTTTTGGTATTTGTTGGTAGCCGGGCGCCTCGGTGCTCTGCGAAAACTTTTGCACATGCCACGCCCAGGCTCGCCCCTCATCCTGTCTGACTGCCTTAGGGCCACTAAACAACAGATAGACTCTAAGCGGGCCAAGCAAAAAAAAAAAACCAACACACTGTAGGTGTATATATACATTAAGATATATACACAAGATATCTGCAAATACAGCGAGAAAAACTTGGAAATTGTCTGGCACTTAGGAGAGAGCTATAGGAAAAAGTTTTAAATAACATAGTTTACCCATTTGACCATATTTCTGCTGACATTATAATAAAGTTAATGTCAGAATTAATATGTAAATAAATACATAAAGTAAATGAATTACAGAAAACACATATTTAAAATTGCAAGCAGGAGTTCAAATACATATGAAAGTTGGATAAATAAGATATAAATAACGGTCTTTAAAACAAAGAATATTTTTATATACAATTTTTACGACAAACTAATCTTTAAAAAACTCATAACTAAGCCAAAAATGCATTAATTTTAATTCGGAAAGCTTTCCCATGCTAGTTTTTACTAGATTAATAAATCTACATACTCAATTTGCAATTTTATAAAATTTTAATTTTTATCAATTTTTCAATATCCTACTTTCAATATTTTAGCCCATAAAAAAGTGCGAAAATTTTTAAAAAATTATATACTCGTCGGAGATAGCTAGATCGACTCAGTTTTTTGTGCTGATCAAGAATATATATAATTTATAGGGTCGGAAATGACTCCTTCCATATTTTTTAAGCTTCTAAACGAAAGTATAATACCAATTTTGACTCGATTTTATCTATATTTTAATATGACAATTTTATCGATAATTAAAATTAAAAAACTCACAACTAAGCCAAAAATGCATTAATTTTAATTCGGAAAGCTTTCCCATGTTAGTTTTTACCAGGTTAATAAATCTGCATACTCAATTTAGAATTTTATGAAATTTAAATTTATATCAATTTTTCAATATTCAATTTGCAATATTTTAGCCCATAAAAATATGTGAAATTTTTAAAATTTTTAATTTTTGTGGAAGATAGCTAGATCGATTGGGCTATTGATGCTGATCAAGAATATATATGGTTTATAGGGTCGGAAATGACTCCTTCCACATATTTTAAGCTTCTGACTAAAATTGTAAATCCAGCAAGTATAAAAATAAAAGTAGAAAACACTCGCTAAAAAACTCTCCTACAATAGAATTAAATAAATAAATGAAAAAGGATTTATTTAGTAACGCATTAATAGAGATTAGTTCAGATAATTTGAGATCTCTCCGAATTTTTCTGTCTGTATTTACCATTTATATACGGAAAAGTTCCAACGCCAAAACAGGTCCCAGGAAGAGGTTTGCGGACGGCGGCGGAAAAACTTTTGCGTAGCCTACAAATTTTCTTTTTCGGCTCCAAATTGGCTGAGGGAGGAAACTTTTACTTGCGGCTACTTTCGCCACTACAACCCGCTGACGACGCCAGCTAAGATGTCGCAGCAGGAGCAGCAGCCAGGCGGCACATCCCTTCGAAGCCATGTCCTGTACAGGATGCCGGCCCAAGGAGCAGTGATTAGGCAATAATTCGGTGGCACGCAAATGGCGCACATATTAACCCGGCCGGAGGAGAGATCACGCCCAAGGAAATATTATGGCGTGTCATTGGACAACTCAATATACACCCAAGGACTCCTCGGCGCCCTTGGGTTGTTAAGCAAATCACGTAAATTTCTTTAAACGAATTACTTTCAAATTATCGGGAATGTATTCTTGTTTTTCCTTTCTTTTCTTTTTTTGCAGAAACAGAACCTGCTAAGCAGGTGCACGTGTGTGTGAAGATGGAGGAGCATTCCCCGAGCCATTTGGCAGAGAGTTTTAAATAAATATTATT